GCTCCTTTGAAATGAGTTTGGGTAAGAGGGGTTTGAGCCTGTTGGTGAGAAGTTTAGTATGGATTTTGCTCATAAAGGTGGAAAGGGATATTGGTCTATAATCCTGGAAAGTATTAGGTGCTAATGTCTTGGGTATCAAAGTGATCAGCGTTGCACCATAGGCCTTGGGGGTGGGAATACCGAGGAAGAATTCCTGTGCAGCTTTGTGGAGGTCTTGTCCTAAAATGTGCCAAGTTTTCCTGAAGAACTCCCCTGTATAGCCATCCGGTCCACTGGTGCTGTGTGGATCAAGGTCCCAAACTGCTGCTCTGACCTCTTCAAGGGTGGGGAGAATGGTAAGGTTATTGTTTTCCTCCTCTGTGATTACGTTTGGGATGAACTGAGTGATTTCCTCCAGGCCATGGACAGATGATTTGGTATAAATTTTGGTGAAGTGGTTAACAGCTTCTGTTTGGATTTCCTTGGGCTGGGTAAGGTTTCTGCCTTCTGAGGACTTGATATGCTTGATGGATAATTTGTGTTTTCTGCCTTTAACAAGGGAATGGAAGTATTTTGAGTTGGCATCACCTTTTTCCATCCATCTTACATTAGCTTTCTGCTTCCAGTATTCCACTTCTGTGTTGGTGGCTAGGATGAGCTTAGCTTTAGCTTTGGACCAAGTTTCTCTGTTTGTTTCTGTTGGCCTCTCATCAAAGGCAATTTCTGCAGCCATGGATTCCTTTTCGGCCTGTTTGACAGCAAAAAAAATGTCCCCAAAGATACTCTTATTCCATTCTCTGATGACAGCCTTTAGTCCTTGAAGCTTGTTACATAAGCCCCTCATTCCTCCAGAGGTTGGGGTTGAGCTCCAGTACTTTGATACCATAGCAAGGAATGTTGTGTGTGTGAGCCAGGGGTGAAGGATTCTAAAGGATTTGGGGGCTGAGATGTGGGCAGTGGTGCACTCAAGAAGGAGGGGGTTGTGATCGGATCCAGTTTTACTGAGGTGTTTGCAGCTGATTTCATCAAAGGTGTTAACAACCTCTGAGTTGATTAGTATTCTATTAAGCCTTCGCCAAACTCTCCCTTGGCCCCTTTTCCCACACCAAGTAAACCATCCTTTGGAAGGAGAAATCTGTATAAGGGAGTTCTCTTCAATGCATTCATTGAATTCTGCCATACTTCTGCTGCACGGGGTAGCGGTACCTTTGTGTTCTGAAAGGGAGGTGATGGCGTTGAAGTCACCTCCTAAAATCCACATTTCATCAGTAGGTCTATGAGCAGTAATGAGGTTCCATAAGTCCCTCCTTTGGATTAGGTCATGCTTGCCATAAATAGAGGAGATATTAAGGACCTTTGAGGAGCTATTAATGATGAACCTGCAGGTTAAAATCTGTTCCTCTCTAGAGCAGTGGGTGAGGTGAAGGGTGTGCAAATTCCAGAAGATCCATATTTTGTTGGTAGGGGAGGTATCATAGGAGTTGTAACCAAGTTTTAGAAGGTAGAAGGATATTTTGCTGCTATTGACAATAGGTTCAAAAACTGCAATGAAAGGGGGGGAGAAGGTTTTGGTTAGGGATTGGAGCCTTGTGATAGAGGATGCAATCCCACATGCATTCCAAAAGAGAAGGATCATTTGGGGATTAAGGGAGGTAAAGCTCCTTGGCCACGACACTGGCTTTTCGTTTGGACGCCACTTGGTGGGAACACTCTCTTTTTCCTGGTCCTCCTAGGGGTGAGGGAGACCTGTGCACATTTAAGTGTTGGTTTAAGGATGAAGGGTTCAAGGTTTCCTTTGATGTATGGTTCATCATCCCCTTCAGAGTGGCAGTGGATGTCCAGTTCCTCCTCACTGTCAGTGTCATGCAATGGAAAGCCAAGATTATTGAGAATAGTAGTGGTTGGGTCATGGTTAATAACCTCTGGGGAGGTGGTGTCGTCTAGACTACCAGATGGGAGAGTAGGGGTTGGGTCAAGGTCCATGAGGTTAAGGAGCTCAGGACAAATGTTGGGGGTGGTATTGGGATGAACATTGGAGGTGATGTGGGGTTTAGGGATTAAGCTGGCAGATTGACTAGGGGTGGGGGATAAGGGTGCTAAAGTGGGAGAGTGAGCTGTACTTTTGGATGTACCAGCTTGGCATATATTTGCAGCAGGAGGGTTTTGACTGGGGTCCTTAATTTTCCAGTAATGCACAGGGACTAGGCAAGTTTGGGGATTTTGTGTTGGACGTTTCCTCTTGACTATAGTCCAATCTGAATCTCCATTTGCCACCATCAGTGTGTCGCCGGTGTGGACTTTTCCGGCGACAAATCGTTTTTTGCAAGATGATTCCTTGTGGCCTAAAAGCTTGCAGGTATGACAGAAAGAAGGGGGCTTTTCAATGGTTAAGGGAAGATTAAAGTCTCGTGCCCCTAGCCGAAGGTGTATGGCCTGTGGGACTGGGTTGGAGAAATCAATTTCAATACACATTCTGGCCCTGCTGGTGTTTTTGCCAATTAGGGTTCGTTCATCTGGTTTGAAGGGTCTACCAAGACAAGAGGCTAGGGTGTAAAGGGCTGGTGGGTGAAAAAGGTGGAGAGGGACATTGAAGATAGAGACCCAAACAGGGATAACAGGGCAATCTGTGCTAGAGGAGTAATCAGGAGACCATTTGAAAACATAAAAATCTGCCTTGCCAAACTTCCATGTTCTACGCAGAAGGAACCTCTGGTAATCATGTTCAAATTGGAAGATGAAGAGTGTGTCATACCTTGAAAGGGGTTTGATTAAGAACGCCTTGAATCCTATGGAGTAGAGGATTCTGTGGAGATCATTCAATGGAGGAGAGATGTTAGACCTGCCCACAACAGCGTACTGGAGTTCTTGCGCAAGATGCTGCTCCTCCTCTCCTGTGAAGACAACCGAAGGATTTCCTTTCCTCAGTCCAACGACTTTTCCAATTTGTGGCATAGCTGGGAAGAGTTCTGAGAATAGTTTTTTCTTTTCAGGATGGTTGATGTTGTTCCTTGGTTGGTGTTCCTTGGTTGGTTGCCTCGCCGGAGCAGTCGCCGGAAAACGTCTCTCTCCCATATATATATATATATATATATATATATATATATATATATATATATATATATATATATATATATATATATATATATATATATATATATCCCGACAATCCCACCAAGTCCTGCAAAGCCAGGGGTGCAGATCTCAGAGTTCATTTCAAGAACACCAGGGAAACAGCACATGCTATTAGGAAGCTACCTCTAATAAAGGCAAAAAGGTATCTTGAAGATGTATTGGCACACAAACAGGCCATTCCTTTCACCCGCTTCTGTAGAGGTGTTGGAAGGACTGCTCAGGCGAAGAACAGACATCCCAATGGACAGGGACGATGGCCTGTAAAATCTGCCAAGTTCATTCTGGATTTGCTTAAAAATGCCGAAAGCAATGCTGAGGTCAAAGGGCTTGATGTGGATTCTCTCTACATCTCTCACATTCAAGTGAACCAAGCCCAGAAGCAAAGGCGCCGTACATACCGTGCTCACGGTCGAATTAACCCTTACATGTCTTCCTCATGCCATATTGAGTTGATCTTGTCTGAAAAAGAAGAGCATGTAAAAAAGGAGCCCGAGTCTCAAATTGCTGCAAGCAAACCTAGGAAGGCTTAGGCATTGCTTACCCATGTTTTTTGTTCTTCTGATGGTTTTCATACACCCTACAAGTCATGTCTCTGATGTCAAAGGATTGTCACTATCATAACACACTGGATTTTCATTTTGTATTATGCCTAAAAGGGATTGGATTATGTGGTGAGCCATTAGCAGTTTTCTTTTGATGCGTTAATATATATATATATATATATATATATATATATATATATATATATATATATATATATATATATATATATATAACCTTGATCCCCAAAAAGGAGGACCCAAAAAATTTCAGTGATTACAGACCCATTTCTCTTTCCACTTTCATGAGCAAGATAAACACAAAGATCCTGGCCAATAGACTACAAAAGATTCTCCCTAAAATCATATCTTTTGAGCAGACAGGATTTCAACAGAATAAGGGCATTGAAGAACAGATTCTTCTCACTGAAGAAATGGTTCACAAGATTGACAACAAGACAAGAGGGGGAAATATTATCATAAAGCTAGATATGGCCAAGGCTTTTGATAACATGGAATGGGATTTTATCACCTTTGTTCTTCAGTCTTTGGGTTTCTCTGGGAAAGCCTGTGAACTTCTAATGGCTAACCTTTTTGCTACTCACATCTCTATCCTAATTAATGGTAGTCCTTGTGGCTTTTTTAAGATGCAAAGGGGTGTCAAGCAGGGGGATCCACTTTCTCCTCTACTATTCATTCTTGCCAGTGAAGGTCTGAGCTGCATTCTCAACCAATCAATGAATAAAGGTATCATTAATCATTATAACACGGGTAGGGATCTGATTGTCAGCCATTTGGGTTTTGCTGATGATATTATTATCTTCACTAAA